TTATATCACAAAAATTATACAATATGCCTGTTTGAAATAAGTGAATGTTAAAAGTTTACTGACAGGAGATACTGAAAAAGTTATGTAAAAGCAGAAAATGTCAATTCTATATTTTTATTTTTTTTTATTTTTTATTTTTTTGTAGATTAGGCATTAAAATAAGATCCCAAGGATATCCAATACAGAAGGCAAAGGTTTTGTTTGGTCTGAATATCTTCTTGTGGCCCTCAAAGTAGTAAAAGGGTATTCAAATGGCTTTTAATCCAATAAATATGGTACTAAAAATTGGCTAATGCATATTTGTTGGCACACATTGGCAGTTTCTCCAATATGTGCCTGGCAAGTTTGCTCAGTTTTTGTCCAATAAATATGGTACTAAAAATTGGCTAATGCCGGTAATGCATATTTGTTGGCACACATTGGCAGTTTCTCCAATATGTGCCTGGCAAGTTTTAGCTCAACATAAGGCATCTGATAGCTTGTATCTGTATTTTATAAACAAAATATTGAAAAAAAATTAAAGGTTTCTCTCCACTGTAACCCCTTGGATCTGAGTGATGTAGCCATCAAGTCATGAAAAAACTGACTTAGGCACAAGGTGTGGGGAATATGCCATCATGAAAAATTTGGCTTACGGCTGGGGTGCAGGAAATGATTTGTCATACAAAGCTCTTGGAAAGTGATTAACATTATTTCCACTCGTAAACAAGTGTAGGGTGTACTAGCCACGAGTCAAGACTGGATGAGTGCCGGCTTGAGGAAGGACAATATTTTCACACTCAGGAACTGTGATCAGCAGCACTGTATGTTGCATACAATTGATATTACAAAAACTGATTTACGATCATTGTTATTGAACAGAATTGTTGACTACCTTGAGAGATGATATAGAATCTGCACAAAGAAAACAGTGTGTTACCATCTTGATATAGTATATGAGATGACACATATAAACTTTATAAAATATAAAAAAAGCAAACAAACAAACAAACAAAAATGCAAAAAAAAGAGCCACCATTGCTAAGGGGTGGCAAGAAGTCTTGACACTGCACCCAGTGAGGTTTAAGGCAAAGAAACCAGCAAATCATGTGGGAAAACCTCTATTTTTAATTTCTTTATCATTCTCCAGACAGCCTGTGTACACCTCTTCCAAGGAATATGGCCGAGGAAGGTTGTGCGGAGGTAGGGGAGGCAAACACAGGCTGCAAGATGGAGGATACGACATCCAGTCTAGGGAGTGCTCCTGTTGTCTGTTTGGTGAGTAAAGGAAATGGTTTATATTTTCTAATTGCTGAACTGAGGTTAGGATTCTTTTGCTGCGTATTTATTTTTCTGTTTAAATTTTCATTGATGATTTTAAAAAATGGATGAAATCTAACAGACATTTTATTGAAACCCCACTCCATAGTACAGATCAGCTAATAACCTTACTCACCAAAATGCAGGTTTGCGACTGTGTGATTAAGGAGCTCCACAGACAGGATGTGCCCAATGTGTTCCTTGAGAGTAGTGTGACATCTCATTCTCAGCAACAGCTGGCAAACATGCTGTCAGTCATTATAAAAAGTCCCCTAGAATCATCACAGGTTTGTGGGAATTTTATTTATTGTCTGTTCTTATTCTCATCTCTGATATACTTGGCTGGTGACAGCGGATATGCATCTTTAGATTTTATTTTTATTGCAGGATGTGGATATTTCATTTATTTTCTTGGTGTAATTGTTGTTGTTATCATTACATTTCTAACCAATTTTTATTATTTACTTAATAGAATGTTAGAGATGATTAAGCACTTTGAAAAGTATTTCTTATTCACTTTTCATAGTTATAGGATAGTTATGTTCATTGCTATCATTTTCTTGGAGAGTAGAAATATTAGCAACAGTTATAGAGTGGATGAGAATCTCCATGCACAATATATATATTTTTTAATTTTTCAGGTCTATTCCAAAACCCTGTGTCGAAGGTGCTTCAGACTCTTAGATGAACTGGATGGTATTGAGCAGCGTTCAGTAGTTCTAAAGACAACCATTGAAGAGCTCTACAGTCGCTCACTTCTGAGGCGTATGAAAGGGCCTCGTGTGAGCGACGAAGAGACAATTGGTAAGGATGGTTGCTTGTGTATTGTTTTTAATACGTCAACCATTTTGTGAAGTAATTTTTTTTATTTTTTCATATAAAAATCGATATTCATTCTGAAACATTCAGACATACATTAACCCAATGGTGCTGGGGAAAATGAACAAAAAATGGGGAAAATATTGTGCCCACTTTCTATTTTTTTCGTGAAATGTCTGCTGATAGATGGCTTTGCTAGCGCCTGATTTAAATGGCAGGAAAAACGTATTTTTCACTAGTGCAATGAAAATTGATGGTGTTATTTTTATCATAAACATAATTTTTATAATTTTTTTAACATTAGTAACAGCAAAATAAGATTACGTAAAATATTTTGTAAATCAAAGAAACGGGTAAACGGGCAAGATGGGCGGTGCTCATAACTGGCTCATTGGGGAGTTAGTACAAGTGTTGCCATCTATGCGTAAAAACAATCAAACAAGTACTCACTGTGGGCATAGCACGTACGTACACGTCATACCTAGCACCAAGGGGTTAAGATGTCTGGTGTAGTTTATGGCTTAACCCCTACAATGATGTGAATATGCCATTGTGGGTGGGGTGAGGTGAATTTGCCATCATAAGAATTTTGGCTGAATTTCGGGGTAACGGGAGAGACTCGCCACAAGTGCACAAACCTCTTGGTGGGCTGATTATACTCATTTGGCATTTGAGAAATGGCTTTTGCATTATTTCTGTTAATAAATGATGATAGAATGTAATGTCCTTGAGCCATGACTGGAAGAGAGACGGCTCTGGGGAGGATAGGTGTCTTGTCGCTACACACGATTGTTTGCATGCACCTGGCCTACAAACCTTGCACCCATCAGAAAGGCCATTTGATGGCAGTGAAGCATCCAGATCCAATGGGTTAAATTGTTATATAAATATTAGATTTGTAAGAAGATAATAGAAGACCAGATAAATAGATATGAGAAGAGATATACAAGATATGTGTAAGTAAAGGTAAACACACAAAAATTTAAATGATTCCCTTGACAGGTGCTATGGACTTGGGTTTACCTGAAGATGACGAGGAAGATGATGGCTCTAAAATCTCAGTGAAGGTGGAGCCTCTGGATGATGATGATGACTTTCTAGCCGATGAGCTGCGACCAGAGGACCAGGGCATCCGGCCTGATGACCCAGAATTCAACCCAGCACATGACAACATGTGGCGAAGCAAGTCACGCAGTAAGGGCAGGGGCAGGTGAGTGTAGAATGGAGTATTGGATAAAGTTTGGTCTGATCTTTGGTTCCTATTGGATTTGACAAATGTTTCAGTTTTTAAGCTGTTCCCTCCAGATGATACGAACATCATGTCTTGAAGTTGGAGGTCTTCCTGCCAGGTGACATGAACGTCCTGTCTTCAAATGTGTTTATTTATTGTTAGGGTAGCATGGAGATGCAAAGGTGAAGGGGAGAGGGAAAACCATCGTTAAGATGGAAGATGGAAAAGTCCTTTATGCATCACATGTAGCGGTGTTGTATGCTCAGGGGAATAGCCTGACAGACACAAAACACAGAATTTTGTATGACGTGGTTGGCTGATAATTTGTCAAGAGATGGGCAGCAGGTCCTGTAAATATTTGCTTACAGGCCTGGAAATATCACGACTGACTAGATCAAGCTCTCACGCCGCATCTGCTGCACTTTACTGGTAAGTAACTTTCAATTCATTCTCTCTTGTATGCACATAAAAAGTTTGTCTATAGTCTGTGTCTGCATAATTATAGCATAATTTTCAGGTTGATGTGTTTTCAGGTACTCCTTAAGTGAGGACACTAAAAACCCTCAGCTTTCAGCCTCAACCACTGGGGTCAACCAGTAAGTAGATTTTAAATCACTGTCTTATATCTGTTTTTATATGAAAAGTAAGTAAATGATATCAACATGGTTTATGTATATTTTGTAATTCTTTTTTTTTTCTTTTCTTTTCTTTCTGTCTGTCAGGTGCTCCTCAAGTAAGGGCCCAGTTGATTTTGCTGAGGCTGCTGTATTCATGGCATGGTATGACATCTCATCGAATGACAGTACTGATGAGGAGTACCAGGCAAAGGGGGGGCCACTTGAAAGCAGCTCTGACAGTGACTCTGATGAGTTGGACTGTTTGTACCAACAGGACAGTATGTTCGGTTCTGTTGAATCACAGTCAGAGGTTTTTGTGAGGGAACAGAGTGATCCTGGGAGCCAGAAGTTCATATGTCAGAAGTGGGAAAACAGGCTAAGGCAGTATAAATTCTCCAGTTATCCTGGGGTCAATGTTCCTGACCTGGACAAGGAATCCAGCCCCTTGGCTATCTTCTCCGTCTTCATAACTGATGAACTTCTGGGAGTACTTGTCCAGGAGTCTAACCGGTGAGTTACAGTTCGCTGTAACATATCAGTTTATCAGCTATGTATATTTTCTCCACAGTAGTATGTAGCTAGGTGTTATTTATTTATTTTCTTTATTTTTAATTTTTTAATTTTTTTTTGCAGCATGGCTTTAATTTTTTCTCTTTCTCTCTCTCAGGTATCACTGCCAGCTATCTCCAACCTACTCTGCACACAAGAAGGCATGGTTTGACATTTCAGTTTCAGAGCTGAAGGCCTATCTGAGTCTTTGGCTCTTGATGGGTATTGTGCCAAGGCCAGAGTTGAAATGGTATTGGTCAACAGACCCTCAGCATGTCATGCCTATATTCTCTGAGATGATGACAAAGGACAGGTTTGAAACTATCACTGGGTGCCTCCATGCAGCTGACAACAGTGGCAAGCATGCTGCTGGTGATAAGCTCTGGAAGTTGTGCCCTGTGATTGACCTGCTCTCTCATCAGTTTTTGGCTGTTTATTCTCCTCCTAGGAGGATTACGGTTGATGAGTCTCTCTGGAGATTCCACAATCAAGTATGCTCAAGGGTAAAGGTGTACAAACTTTTGGTGGCTCATGGCCCTGCTGAAGGCTATGTATGCGCCTTCAAAATATACATGGCGCAGGACAAAGGTGAACTACCAGCATCAATGAAGGCTATCATTGACTTGATGGGAGCTGCTGACCTGTTTGGAAAGGGCCATATTCTTTTTACTGACAACAGGTATAGCTCTCCTGCCCTATTCCTTGCAGAGTCAGCATACAGATGTTGTTGGTGTGGTGCAGCCAAATTGCAAGTACATGCCAAAAGACCTGCAGGTGAAGGTCCGTGGGGGTGTGGACTACAGGAGCACAACAACAGGAATGTTGGCCCTTCAGTGGTTCAACAAAAAGCCTGTAACCATGCTCTCCACAGTTTACACCAGTGAAATGCTTACAGTCTTGAGTGAGAGTGGGTGTGAGTGCACCAAGCCTAAGGTAGTAGTGGACTACAATTCTGGCATGAAAGGGTCAGATTTAAGCAACCATCTGGCTCAACCCCACCAAGCATTTTGTAAGTCCACCAAGTGGTATAAGAAGGTACTCTTCTACCATCTGGACATGGTAGTGGTCAGTGCCTTCCTGGTGCATAAAGCACTTGGAGGGCATATGGCTCAACTGGAGTTCCGGGAAGAACTTGCTTGGGAGCTCCGTCTTGAATACTGCCGCACAATTTTGGGATGCCGGAGCCGTTCCTCCCTCACTTCTGAGAGCCGTCTCCAAAGGGCAACAAAACACACCCAAATAGGAACTCCAGGCAATAAATATCGTCGATGTCGTGTGTGTTATGCGCACGGCATAAGGAAAGAGACAAGTACACTGTGCTCATTATGTATGGAGTGCTTTGACCGGTTCCACAGTAAGAAGAAATACTGAGTACATGTCCTTGTCACTATTAGTGTACCATATTGTAAATACTTTTTGAAATTTTTATATTTTTAGATAAATAAAGTTTGAATTTTAAAAAATCTTTCTATACCAGTAATAGCAGATATCATGTTTCACTCAGACTAAAAATTACCAACTACAATTGAATATGGTAAACACATTTGGTCTTTTACAGTCTAGTGGACATATATGTTTATATAAAAATAAATCAAAATGAGCTTTTTCACATTGAATACAAGCAACATAATCAGTTAAATTGAACTTTGGTAAACACATAGTTATTATGACTTAGGCCTACATATCAAATATCTAACAGAGACAAGAAACATTAAAAAAAACACACAAGGGTTATACAAGAAAATACAATAAGTAATCAGATTTTGTTATACCACTGTCTAAATCTAAAACTGGTCCTGTAGTGAAGGCTACAGGACCTGAAATTTACCTGTAGATAACAAGTTAAGGAGCATAGAAGCTTATTATTATTATTATTATTATTATTATTATTATTATTAATATTAATATTATTATTATTATTGTTATTGTAAATATTATTATTATTATTATTATTATTATTATTATTATTATTATAATTATTATTATTATTATTATTATAATTATTATTATTATTTTTTTTTTTAGCTGATGATATTTTATAGAATTTTTTTGTAAGTAGAGAGAGAGAGAGAGAGAAAGAGTGAGTCATCATTCTGTATGTTTATTTCCAGGGGCAGGGGTCGAAGCAGAGGTCGTGCAAGAGGACGTGGCAGAGGGCGGGGCCCAGGGAGACCCCCCAAGAACTTAAAAGATGAGGATGCTGCAGCTAATAAAGCTGGAGAATCTCTCGGGGAGAAACTGGGGCAACTAGTCAACAAAATACTAGGTGAGCTTTCAAGATAGTGCAGTTGCCTGTTTTGGGGGACAGGAAAGAGCATTAACAATATAGTTCATTTGGTTTGGGTATCATGGCTTTGGAAATGGGATATAAGAATGTAGTTTTCTTTCTGTAATTCCCAATTTCATTTAGGTTTTAGGCCTACCTGCAAATAATTAAAAGATATCCAAGCAGAGCAAAGTAAAAGGTGTATATATATCTAAATCTATTGAACCGGTTTCAGGAGATGATGAAAGCGAAGAGCCAGTAGACATGGAGACAGAAACTCCCACAACCTCAGCAGAAGGAGTGGAAGAAGAAGTGGATGCCACAGAGAAGGTAAGAGATCTTTTAAATATTAACTTGTTCATATGTAGGAGGTCAGCGAAGTTTTCACAAGGAATGTATATATGTGAGCAGTTTTGCTTTCGTCCTGTAACTGGAAGTTCGGTGAATTGGATTGTAATGTATATAGTTTAGAAGGATTGGTTAAAGTAATGATTTTTAGATATTCTTAGCTTTAGTAATCATAAGACTTTCCTTTTCTTTTCTTGGGACAGCTAGAATATTAGGCATTATTGACGAAATAATGCTATTGAAATAATGCTATTGATATAGTCATCTTTTATGAATAGGTACCTGCTAATACAATCCTTGTGAAAGCTTCTGATGTTTGAATTTTATACTTCATCTCATTCTATGAGGGTGGAAATTGTGAATTTGTGAATAAATACTGTTGAAAGGACACCCATATGAACATTGTTGAACATGTATGTGCTTTCTCTCCTCTCTCTCTCCTCTCTCTCCCCCTCTCTCCTCTCTCTCCTCTCTCTCTCCTCTCTCTCTCCTCTCTCTCTCCTCTCTCTCTCCTCTCTCTCTCATCTCTCTCTCATCTCTCTCTCATCTCTCTCCTCTCTCCTCTCTCTCCTCTCTCTCCTCTCTCTCTCCTCTCTCTCTCCTCTCTCTCTCTCTCTCTCTCTCTCTCTCTCTCTCTCTCTCTCTCCTCTCTCTCTCTCTCTCTCTCTCTCTCTCTCTCTCTCTCTCTCTCTCTCTCTCTCTCTCCTCTCTCTCTCTCTCTCTCTCTCTCCTCTCTCTCTCTCTCTCTCTCTCTCTCTCTCTCTCTCCTCTCTCTCTCTCCTCTCTCTCTCTCTCCTCTCTCTCCTCTCTCTCACTCCTCTCTCCTCCTCTCTCC